GATGCTGGGAAAGATTGAAGGCAGGAGGAGTAGGGGATGACAGAAGATGAGATGGTTGGATGGCATCACTCGACTCGATGGACGTGAGTCTGAGCAAGCTCTGGGAGTTGGTGATGGCCAGGGGAGCCCTGCATGCTGCAGTCCATGGGGTCGCAAAGAATTGGACACGACTGAGTGAACTGAACTGAAAACAGTCTTACCTGTCTTCTCCTCAGCTCCCCAGATTTCTCCTCCTGGCTTAGTCTTTTCTCTGAAGTCTAGGCTTAAACAATTTCTCTGAGGAACTCCCACCCTTACCATCCATGGATGGGTTAGTTTCCTTCGTCCATGCTCTTATGGTGCTTGTTTCTGTCACAACACTTCTCACACTGCCTGTTTCTTTGCCTGTCTTCCCCGAGCCACCCAAATTCCCAAGCTTAGTGCTGTGTGTGGCAGATGCTTAATAACTGTTCTGTAAATGGAAAACTTTCCAATAACGAGGTTCCCGATGAAACACAATCTCAATAGGTAGCCTATTCAAATGTTAGCCGGGTGGCCAGCTGGTCTATGACTTAAGTCCGTCAACTATAAGATTCTCTCCAATAAACAATTCAGGACTTTCTGACTTTATTATCATACTCAGGGGTTTGGGCTTTAATATGTAAGCAATATTGGGCCATCAGATTTTTAAGACAAGTGCAACATTATCAAATCTGGTTTTGTTGCCCTATTATACATCTTTGGAACACCTCCCAACCCAACCCTCTGTTGGCTTCAAATCAAAATTCCAACTACACTTCACAAACATAAACACCACATGCTACCACCACACCCCCCAAAGCACACAAAGACACAGAAGCAGTCAAACCAAAGGGAATTTTGAAAGACTAAATGCAGCATTTAATTCCATCTTAACCACCTGCAAACAACGAGGATCCATAAATACCCTCTAGAAACCCAAAAACTAATTCCTCTTGTGTGCCTTTATGGAAAGAGGAGGGCAGGGAGAGGGAGCATTTCATAAAGGTAATCCATTTAACCATCCTGAGTAGTTCTGATCTGAGCTGCTGCCTAGCACTGCTATTCTTGATCACTGCAGCCCCATTCGCCAAAACCCAGGATGACCAGAAAGGAAGACGAAGACAAGGTGAGGCTGGGAAGTCCCCTGGGTTCTATTTCAACAGCAGGAGTTCCCTTTAGAAGATACAAAAGGGGCAAGCAGAAATCTGCAAAAAAGGGCTTCAGTGATAAGGAACTTTAATCTGCAGAGTTGGGGAAAGGGGGTAAGGAAGCTTAACCAAAGGGGCACAAGCAGGCCTGGGTTCTTGTCGAGGAACTGCATGCCACACCCTACTGCAGATGAGGCCTAATCACCATTTTGCATTTACAGAGCACTCTGGGCTTAAGGGAGGCACTAAGAGTGCCTGCTTTGCCAGTCACAAAAGGACAAATATTGCATGATTCCATTTATATGAAGTACTGAGAGTAGTCAAATTCACAGAGACAGACAATAGAATGATAGTTGCTAGGAGGGAAAAAGGAATGGGAAATAAGTGTTTATATGTAGCTTCAGTTGAAGAAGATGAAAAAGTTCTAGACACAGATGGTGACAGTTGCACAACAATGTAAATATATTTAACACCATAGAACTGTACGTTTTAAAATGGTAAAATTTTATCTTATGTGTACCTTTACCAAAAAAAAGCATACCAGCTTTAAAATTATATTGTCTGCAGTTATCAATTACATGACCCTGAGCAAGTCATATAAACTCTCTAACTCTTGTTTCTGCAAAACGGGTTTAATAATAGTAGCTAATTCACACAGTAACTCTTGAGAGCTAAATGAGATACTTCACACAAAGTCCTTAATCCAGTGACTGGTACATGGAAAGTACTTAATAAATGTTAGCCTACTGCCACAATGCATTTCTCACAGCCATTTCTCATAGGCCCCACACAACCCTATGAGAGTTTACAGATAAAGAAACTGAGGCTCAGAGAATCACAATGAGTGGCCAAGTTCACTGTGCCAGAGCAAATCAAATCCTTTGCCCATAAGAGATTTCCTGTCCTCTCCACTTGTTAATTTGGTGATCTAAGGCAAGTGCCCTAAACCTTGCTATGTTTCAATTCTCAACTAGAGCTGTAAAAAAGGAAACATAAACCAACCAAGCTACCTCACAGAACTAGATGAGAAATGAAATCAGATAATGGTTACAAAAGAGAACTATAAAACATAAACAAAGTACTATGCAACAAAAGTGGTAATTTGTGAGAGTGCCTGCTTTGCCAGTCACTAAAGGACAAATATTGCATGATTTGTTTTGCAGCACACAAAACCTGGCCTCCTTTTAATGCTGGGACTAAACAACTTCCTGGTGATTTCATTTCACTCGGGATTCCAGGTCTTAAGGCCGGAATAAGTAGTTTAGTGTTCTTTCAAAACGTGGCAAACTATGGTAGAAACAAAAATATTACTGGACTGGGAGTCAGAAGACTGAAATCCTAGTTCTGATTCTGTCACTAAAGCAGCCTGTGAATTCAGACAACTTACTTACCCTTTCTGAGGTTCAGTTAACCAGAAAGAGGGAAAAGGCAGGAAAAAAAGTTAAGACTAGAGAGGACCCCTTGGCAGCCCTATTTACCACTACTCTTAAATCCACGATCATGCAAAAGGGATCCTCCAGACTCCAGAGAACTACAGCAAATAACAGGCGACTCCAGACCTGGCCTAGGAACACCCCTGCCTGATCTTTAGACACCAGGCATCAAAACACACTGGAAAACTAGAACACTTGCCAAAGTTAATTTTAGTCCACTTTTACCCCTCTGGGCCTTATCTGAAAATAAGAGAAATAAATCTCTAGTTGAAAGCAGCAGAGTCTAAGCAATTGACTTGAGCCACTTTCTGCTCCCCCTCTCCTTTAAACACTATAGAATGGGCAAGATTTGGAGGAACATGCCATAAACAAAAGATGGACCTCACTGCTTTAAATGACCTACGCCTTCCCTGAGCCAAAACCCCAGGGAACTTTAGTGTGCTAGAAATCTGGAGTCCTCTGTATCCATCCACTTCTAAGGGACAATATTAGCAAGAAATCTGTAAGAACTTCCTTTCCCTCCGACCTCGCACAGATCCAGGATGGAATTCCATCCACAGTGGACACTGACCCGTGAACGAGGGAGAACGGAGACAGGTCTCTCATCTAATGATGTGACTCCAAATCCGTTCTGCACTATTACACAAGCTCACACTAAGAAATGAATAACAGACAGCAGCACTACGGCTTTACACTTCGGTGGCTACACACTGTGATTTGGAACATATTCTTTAACCTCTCGGAGCCTTGATTTCTGTTTTTGTAAAAGGGGGTAACCTCAGAAGGCCGTCTTGAGCATTCTATGAAACAGCGGCCGAAGTTCCTGCGTCAAGTCCGTTAAATGTTACCTGTTGGTATTAAAACACTTTTCTCACACATCAGTTTCCTCCCTGAATCCACAAAATACCCTGCAAGGCGACTTTCTTTCTCCCGGTTCACTGAAAGGCAAACTGAGGCTCGGCCGGGAAAAGGCTGCGTGAAGTGCGGCGCGCGGCCCCAGCTCGAGGGCCTGCTGTTGTTCCTCTAAGAAGCCCAAGGTGTGCCACGAGCCCAGGACCGGGAGAGGCGGGGACCGAGGAGGCACTCAGGTCCTTAGGGAGCCAAGCGGGTCCAGTTTTGCGCGCCTCGGGAACCCCGCAGACCCAGCCCGGGAGGGAGAGCCGGAAAATGCCCCAGGTCTGGGCCGGAGCCGGGGCTGGGCCCGCCCGAGGCCTCCCCGGCGCGGCCTCCACTCCCCCCTCCTCCCCTCGGCGGGCGGGGCGGGGCGCGAGCACAAAAGACTCCAACTTCCGAGCGGGAGCGGGCCCACCCCGCCAACTCCTGGCCCAGGCCCGGCCCGCGGAGAGGAGGCGGGCAGGGAACGCCAGGGCGGCTGGGAGCGGGAACGGGCGGACCCGGCCGGCGACCCAAGGCGGCGGGGCCGAGTGGAAGGGAAGGTGCGGGGGAAGGGGGCTGGGAGTTACTCCGGCTCCCGGGACTCCCAGAAGGGCCGAAAAAAGAGTTTCTAAAAATAGGCAGCGGTCCGCGCGAAGAGGTGGGTGACCGAAAAGGAACCAGGAGCACCCACTTCCCGCACCTTGAAGGAGACGCCCGCGGCCCCCACTCACCCGCGTTGAGAGATCTGGAGGAAGCCGCGCGGCGCGGAAGGAGGCGGTGCCGCCGCACTCGGGGCGGAAGGGCGGGAGCGAGGGAGGGAGGAAGAAGGCGGCCCCGGCCGCAGCGTGAGGAGCTGAGCACACGCGCGGGAGTCGCCCCCGTCGCCCCCTCGGTTTCTCTCGGCTCAGCCTGCGCTGCTCGCGCACCCCGCCGCACTGACAGCGGTGCGAGCCCAGCAGCCGCGAGTCCTTCCCTTGGCCCGCACCACTGAGGCGCGCGGCGGTGGGGGTGCCCGGAGCGGCTTCTCTCAGCTCGGCCCCGCCCGCCGTTCCGGCCTTGGCCCTGCCACCCCTTGCCCCCACCTAGGTCTCCAGAGAACGAGCCTGGCGACGCTCGCGCGGCGTCCGCAGCCCCGCCCTAACAGCCTGGCTCCCGAGACGCAGCTGCTCTTCACACCCCCTCAACCTAGCTTTGGAAAGGTCCAGATCTTCGGCGGGGATAAGAGAAAGGAGGGGTCGGGGAGGGGCCTAAAGGGGAGGAAGGCCTGAGGTGGGAGCCTGAGGAGGCGGGGCTGGGGCGGAAGGAGACAGACGCTCTCTTACACCAGTACGGAGCGTAAGGCGGGGCGGGGCCGAGAGGGTGCTAAGGCCGAGAAGAGAGGCGCGCAAGACAAGTATGGAAGGCAGCGGCGGTCTCGCAGACCCGGGAAGGCCGAGCAAGAAAAAGAGGGGGGGAGTGGGCGGGGCGGCGCGGGGCGGGACCTACCCAGAGGAGGGGTCAAGAGTGGAGAGAGGCCCGGGCGAGCCTGGGGGAGTAGGGGCCTTTAGAGGAGGGTGTTGGAGGCGGGGGCTGAAGAAAAGCCTAAAAGGGAGGAGAGATTGAAGCGGAACAGAAGGAGGCGGGCCCGGAAGCCGAACCGGGAGGAGGGAACCCGAAGGTGGCCACTTGAGGAGGAGCCGGAAGGAGAGCGATGGGGGTGGGGCGGGAGGAGGAAAGTAGGGCTGGAGGCGGGCGGAGCCTGGAGAGGGGGCCCAAACAAGTTGTCGGTGGGCGGTGCCGGGAGGATGCGGAAGAGACGAAGTAGGAAGGAACGCCAGGTCCTTTCACTTTCAAGGGAGCCTGGTGCGCGGACAGGGCCAGGGTCCACGCTGTTGGTTGGGACTGGGCGGAGACGCCGCCTTGAGGGGCGGGAGGAGGTGCCACTTACACCTGAAAAAAAATGTTAAATTCGAGTAACTTAATCTTTCCGGGGTACAGGAAATGTTATAACTGGATCTCGATCTGGATGTTTGTCCTGCCTCCTGAATATTTCTCCTATCTAAAATTCACGTAAATCAGTAGTGCAACCTCCGCGGAGCAGCGGATGGATTCTCAGAGCACGCGAGGACCGTAAGCCCTTCAGCTGTAGACTTCCCTGAAGGCTGGAAAGAGAAGATTCTCCATGCATCGTCCGACTTATGATTCTGTGATTGTATTTTTCACATCCCAGTGACTTTATTTTGGGGGGCTCCAAAATCACTGCAGATGGTGACTGCAGCCATGAAATTAAAAAACAGTTGCTCTTTGAAAGAAAACCTGTGACCAACCTAGACAGCAAACCTGTGACCAACCTAGACAGCATATTAAGAGGGACATTACCAACAAAGGTCTGTCTAGTCAAAGCTATGGTTTTTCCAGTAGTCATGTATGGATGTGAGAGTTGGGCTATAAAGAAAGCTGAGCGCCAAGGAATTGATGCTTTTGAACTGTGGTGTTGGAGAAGACCCTTGAGAGTCCAATGGATTGCAAGGAGATCTAACCAGCCCATCCTAAAGGAAATCAGTTCTGAATATTCATTAGAAGGACTGATGCTGAAGCTCCAATACTTTGGCCACCTGATGCAAAGAACCGACTCATTGGAAAAGACCCTGATGCTAGGAAAGATTGAAGGCAGGAGGAGACGGGGACAACAGAGGATGAGATGGTTGGATGGCATCACCGATGGGATGGCTATGAGTATGAGTAGGCTCTGGTAATTGGTGATGGACAGGGAAGCCTGGCGTGCTGCAGTCCATGGGGTCACAAAGAGTTGGACACGACTGAGCGACTGAACTGATTTTTCACATCACTTCTCCCAGAACCCACCTAAGAGACTGGATTCCTGAGCACAGAGCCGAGTTTGAAATGAACCCTACCTGATTCTGCCAGATCAACAGTTAAAGCTACACTTGTGTTGTTTAATTACCTCCGTTTCTTGCTTCAAAAGGAAGAGAAATCAAATTTGAAAGATGGTGACAACTGAGCCCAAGGCCAAGAGTGTTCTTCCCCCACCCTTTCTAACTGCTGGTTTCTTCTTATGCCTCAGGTCTCTGCTTAAATATCACCTCCTGGGAGTTCCCTGTTGGTCCAGTGGCTAAGACTCTGTGCTCCCAGTGGCAAAGGTCCTGAGTTTGATCCCTAGTCAGGGAACTAGGTCCCACATGCTGCCACTAAAAGATCCCCCATGCAGCAACTAAGACCCAGCACAGCCCCCCACAAAAAAAAGTTTGGAAAAAAAACCTCAGAAAGATCTTCCCTGAACAGTCACCTTAAAGATGTTCTCTAGTTTGCCAAACTAGGCCTCTTGTTCATGTCTTTCATGGCATTTCTTAGTCTTGTCATTTATTGATCAGTTTACATGGTTTTGCCCATGTTCTACACTGGAAGCTAAGTTCCATGAGGTCAGGAACCTTAGACTGTTGTGTATATCACTGTGTCACTAGATCTAGTGCATAAATCCAGTGTTCATAAAACACTTGAGGGAATGAATGAGTCAATCAAAAACCAGTTAATGAATTTGGTCCCTTCCAGCCTCCTCTGCTCTGTTTCTGGCTGCTCCCTGGTGCCTCACCTCCCTTTCTGTGTACTAGCCTTACCATGTTTGTTTGACTAGACCACAGTCTCTTAGCTCTCTCTGATAAAGCACATTCTCTACTTGAATTGCTCTTTCCCTTCTGCCTAGATGCCTCTTGTTCAACACTCAACTCATGGATGACCTCCTCTGAGAGGTCTTCTCTGACCAGCCCCCACCAGGAAAGTTGAAGCACTCACCCCTTCCTGTTCATGGCCTCAATTATAAAACTTCTCTATGCTGGTGACATCATCTTCCCTCCTGGCATCCTGCTGGCACTGAGGATTATGATCATGGCCTATAAAATCCTGTATGATCTGCCTCCTCCTACTCTTCAGACCTTATCCCCTATTGTATTCCTCTTACGTCATCTCACTCTACTCCAGCCACATGGCCTCCATCCTTTTCTCTGGCCATGCCAAACATACTGCTGACCTTAGGGCCTTTGCACTGGCTCTTGTGTCTGCCTCAAATGCTCTCTTCCCAGATACTGGCATGGCTCGCTCCTCCTTCAGGTCTCTGCTCAAATGTCACTTTCTTAGGGAAGCCTGAGGAAATGACCCACATTTAACATAGCAGCACTCCACTCCTCTGCACTTCCTCACACCCTTTCTTAGTGAATTTTTCTCCATAGCAGTTATCACAACATGAAATATTACATTTATTGTGTCTCCTACCCCCTACCTTTCACTGCAGTGTGATCGCCACAAGGATTTTGTCTGTTTTGTTCATTCCCCAGAACCTAAAACAGTAGGTCCTCATTTAACATTAGTTGAATGCATGGTTATGAATTCAACAAAGAAATGCTGGGAGTACTCTGCGTCATCTTGAAGAATCCCTGAAGATTAGAGTATAAAGGGAGATGTTTCTGAGGAAATATACTGGCAACACTAGCTAACACGGAGCATTTACTAGTTGCCAGGCAATCTGCTAAGTGCTTTTCAAGCTTGTTCCCACAACAGCCCTATGTTCAGTTCCATTCAGTCGCTCAGTCCTACTCTTTGCAACCCCATGGACTGCAGCACACCAATCTTCCTTGTCCATCACCAGCTCCTGGAGCCTACTCAAACTAATGTCCATGGCGTCAGTGATGCCATCCAACCATCTCATCCTCTGTCGGCCCCTTCTCCCGCCTTTAATCTTTTCCAGCATCAGGGTCTTTTCCGAAGAGTTGGTTCTTCGCATCAGCTGGCCAAAGTATTGGGGTTCAGCTTCAGCATCAGTCCTTCCTATGAGGTAGTTACTATTATAATCCCTATTGTACAGAAACTGGCAAAGAGGTTAACTTTTCCAAGGTCATACAGTTAATAAGTGGTGGAGTCCAACTTTAGAGCCTGTATGCTGAGTCACTATACTGCCTACCTTCTGATTATTAAAGATCTACCACTATTGGTCTAATAAGGGTGAAGCGTGAAGATGAGATATCCTTTTCTGAACAGTGTGGTGCCTAGAGTTGTGGCAGAATTTTTTCTTAGCCACTATATTAGGGTTCTCCAAAGAAACAGAACCAATAGGATATGCTGAGATATATAGAATAAGAGATTTATTACAGGAATTGGCTCACAGTTATGTGGGCTTGAGAAGTCCCATGATCTGCCATCTGTAAGCTAGAGAACCAGGAAAGTCAATGGTATGATTCAGTGCAAGTCCAGAAGCCCAAGAGCCAGGAGCACCAATGTCCAGTGTCCTGGGCAAGAGAAAATGGATGTCTCAGCTCAAGCAGAGGAGCGAATTCATCCTTTCATCTTTCTGTTCTATTCAGGCTTCAACAGATTGTAAGATGCCCACCCACATTGCCCTTCTTTACTTAGCCTACCAATTCAAATGCTAATCTCTTCCAGAAACACCCTCACAGTCACACCCAGAAATGTTTTACCAGCTATCTGGGCATAATTTAGCCCATCAAGTTAACACATAAAATTAACCATCACAGGGACTTCCCTGGTGGTCCAGTGGTTAAGACATCACCTTCCAATATAGGAGGTGTGGATTTGATCCCTGGACGGGGAACCCATAAGACCCCATGTGTCTTGCATCCAAAAAAACAGAAGCAATGTTGTAACAAATTTACTAAAGACTTTTTTTTTAGTTTTTTTTAAAAATTAACCGTCACAACCACGAGAGAAGCCAGATAGAGAACAAAACCCATCACACACAAGAGGGCAGGACGGAGAAAATATTGCTGGAGAAACTGAGCCAGAGACCTGATAAAGACATACCTGAAGCCTGACATACCTCCAGACTTTTCTGTGCACCAGTGTATCTTTAGAGGTTGAATAATTTGAGTAGGAATTTTTTTTTTCTAACTTACAACAAAAAAAGATTTCCTAATGGAAGCAAATGAGTAGGGTTCAACAGGTGGAGGTATTAATGTTTCACATTTTTATGAGGTATTTGTTTACAGAATGCTGGAGGGTATTCCAGACAGAGGGAAATGCAAGTATGCAGGCAGGAATGTAAGAGCTTGAGGTTTCTGCAGCACAAGGTATAAACTGAGTTAGATTTCCCTGGTGGTCCAGTGGGTGAGACTATGAGCTCCCAATGCAGGGGGCGCAGGTTCACTGCCTGGTCAGGGAACTAGCTCCCGCATGCCACAACTAAAGATTCCATAGAAAAAAAAAAAAAAAAAGATTCCATAGGCCTCAAGTAAGACCTAGTGCAGCCAAATAAATAAATTTTAAAAAGAAGTAAGGTAGAACTAGGATCTGGAAGAACTGATTTCTCCACTCAACTTTGTAGGCGGTGGGAATAATTGAAAGGTTCTGAGCAGAAGTTGCTTTAAAAGGGTGAAGTGTCAAGGTTGGAAGAACTTTTGCAAGCAATTTGATTTGACTCTAGGTTCTGTTTTTGTCCCATCTCACAAACATGTGAGAAAATGTGGCAGGCCAATGTCTCATAGATGGTAAGTGAAGGAACAAAGGTTTGAACGTAGGGTCATCTGAGCCCCAATTCATGCTGCCAATGACCTCCTGTCTCCACCATTGGAATTAATTTCTGCCCTCTGAGCTCACCCAGAATGGGCAAATCATTTTTCAGAGATTTGACAGTGACATCGGTAGAGCTACCCAGATCTGAATTAGGAAGATGGATTCAAGGGGAGGGAAGAGTAGAGGGACTCCGCCTTCGTGGGAGGCAAAGAAAAAGGCAGATGAGGAAAGCAGGCGAATGAAGAGGAGGGAGCAGATGACAGAGAAGTGATGAGAAGAGTCAGCAGGACCTGGAGAAGGAACAGATGGCGATGGAGGGATGTAAGAAGGAAGAAATTAAGGCCGACACAGGCTTGTGTTTAGAACAGAGGTTGCCAGATCA